GTGTGTGTGTGTGTGTGTGTGTGTGTGTGTGTGTGTGTGTGTGTGTGTGTGTGGTGGCGACTGTCATACTCCAGAAAGCCGGTCCACTCCCTCTGGCAGTCGAGTAGCAGCTGCTCTCGGAGCTGCTGCAGCTTCTTGTAGCAGTCAACCAGGAGAGGAGTGTGATACCTGCCGACTGCCTTCGTACTGCAGATGGGAGAGAGATGAGGCGGAACAGGAGCACAGGATGGAATTAAAGTCAATGCTGGAAACTGCTGTTTGGAAGACAGTAAAATAAGTTGAAGGAGTCTTTATTGGGATGGGATTGTTTCTTGGTTTGATTTGTTTAAAGAGGGGAGCATTATGTATTATATATTTTCCAGGCACATAGTTCCCTTCTATACCACAATCAAGTAACTATGTCACATTCAGTTGTTATGAAAAAGCAGCATATATAAAAAATGAATTTGACTTTGCATCTTAGTTTATCTAAACACCTTGAAATTGGTCTCTGTCCCTACCATTTCAGACACTCCCACTTCAGCACGTTTGCAACCTTTCAGAGGAGTGCTGTAAGAGTGAGCTCCGGGGCGGGGCTTCGCACAAAAAGGCGGTGCTTTCTACCAGCAAGTGTTCAGGCAGCTTCTCATGGCTACCACAGGAGATTCTGGGATTTCTCACACATGCATGAATGAGCCAAAGCAACATTCTGCATATTAACCCCGCCCCTTAAAGGGGCTATATCACGTAAAATCAACTTTTTTGAGTTTTATATCATGTTATAATGTTATACTCTCATGAAAAACATGCCCAAAGTCTTACTTTGACTCATTCATGCATGTTTGAGAAATCCTGTAGTAGTGTCCTGAGGCAGCCATGCTGAGGAGCAAAACGACAGGTGGGGACCAGAACCGCCTTTTGGGATCATCTCCGCCTCTGGGCTGTGTCTCCAAGCCGAGCTTCCTCATCACGGAGCACACCTCCCCACCCCACACACCCTGCCCATGACTTCTGCAGGCTCTCWGCAGCAATAAAGCAAACAACTGGTGAAACTGAAAGAGAAACTGAAACTGTCTGTTGTGCACTTACACTACTCCTCACTCAGTGAATCCCTTTTCAGATTCAAAATACCTTTGAGGAAATGTACTTTCAGATGGCAAGTAAACTGCATCATAGCGCCCCCACCCACTCCCACCCCCCACTCCCAAAATGGGCGGGACAGAAGTGGAAGGTGGTTCTTAAAGAGACAGAGGCCAATTTCAGGGCGTTTAGAAGAGGAAGTGATGAGATGATAAGTTTATTTTCTATTTAAACATAAAAACAGCATTTTAATAACAACTAAAGGTGACATAGATACTTTATTATGGTATAGTATTTAAATATATGCCTGAGAAACACATAATATTGCCCCTTTAAGATAAAGTAAACATTTTATTTGTCTTGAAACCAAAAAACCTCACTTCCAGCAACTTATATTGTGGAAAAATATTCTTTATAGATCTAAAGTAGAAACAAAAACATTTATTTTGTAAAATGAGAAACCATTAATCGTTTAGAGTGAAATACTTTGTGTCAGTTAAAAAAGAACCACCATACAGAAGCATGTATCTTATTTTTTTTTAAACTGTGTGTAGGCTGCAGCTGTATGTGAGCTGACCTGCTGATTTTAACCCAGTCAGGTGGAACAACTGATGACAACGAGTTCTTCACCTCAATCAGAAACTGAAGGCAGAGGAGACAAAACATGAGCGTCTCTGATAAATCAGACCAGAGCAGGCAGGCAAAGTATTACGTCATTTTTAATTAAAACCATCACACACACACACACACACACACAAGAAATTATCATTAATTGCTGAGACTTCTACCCAAATGGCCATCTATCTCCTCCTGCCTCTTCTTTCACTTTCACACACAAAGACGCAGGCGGTACCTCCTGTCCAGAAACGGTGGTGTAGTCGAACGCAGGGGCCTTCAGCACCAGTCGGATGTCTCTGCGGTGCTCTTGGATCTCACTGAGGACAGTGTGAATCTGCCTCGTTCTCTCCTGCAGCACGGGGAAGCCGGACAGATCTGAGAAGAGCTCTGTTTTATTCCCCGACCTGCAGAAACACACTCTTTAAAAAGTGACAGCTGCTAGTGATAGATCACTCCACAGTCCTATTCATCATGATTTTCTGAGAAATGAGACTGATTGTCAGTCTGACCCTCCAGTAATGATATCTGTGTGCCACTTGGATATCTGTCTCTGGTTCTTCATGCCAACTGTTAATCATGTGTGGAGCAACAGCAGCCAGTAGACAACAGACAACAGCAGAACACAACTTGTACTTCTCAGACAATTTCAGCTGAACTGTGGAGCACTGCAAAAGTACAAACTGACTAAAGTAGTTTAGATTTAAAGAAACGAGTAATAATGTAAGTTTATAACATTTATTTCAGGATTTATCCCTGTGTTTGACTGTTTACCAGATAAACCAAGTCAAACAGATGTGAGGAGGAAGTAATTTTTAGTGTTCAGATGTTTTAACAACAGAACAGATTAAAAGTCACTGATGACCTATTTTGATTAAAGGCATTTTTATATTGTGTAAATATTATTAAAATGCACTTTTAGACAAGTACTGGAGCAAAGTGAAATCTCAATCTCTGTAAATTAAAAGTTCATATTTTTGAATGGCTTTATCATAAACAAATTAAATCTGTGATCTCAATGGGACTTGCCTGGTAAAATAACGGTAAATAAAATAATAATAATAATAATAATAATAATAATAATAATAATAATAATAATAAAAATAAAAAAATGAGTGATTCATAATAAAAGTAACTTTTTGCCTTTTATTGCCAAAAACACTATTATTTTAAGGTAGATATTAATAAAGTTAATGCAGTATATATAGTTTAGCTTATGCAACTACCATTGGCTCAAAGCACGCAGTTTCTTTTCTTTTCCCCTCTTTTCCYCTTCTTTTGGTGTTAAGACACTCACTTGGCCGCCTTCTCATCGAGGACCTTGAGGAAGCCATGGGCCGGAGCCAGCAGGTCAGGGGTCTCCAGCAGGAGGCTACGGAGCAGCGCCGAGCTGATCTGAGACCGGATGGCTGGCAGGAGGCTCTGCAGCTCCAGCCCCAACCGAGAAAGGCTGCTGCTAACCAGGTAGAACTCCTGCGTGGAGGACTAGAATACAAAGATGGGTAAAGATGAGTAAACTATCTGTGGAAGCATGAGAGACTGAGCAATCKGTGTATCGAGTAATGAATATTGTAAGAAGTGCTCTCTTTATTTGCATTTGTGGGTTTTGCGTGTGCAGATGGTGCGTTACCATGAGATTTTGTAAAACAGTGAGTTACATCACTGTTCTTATCTGCACTAAATGAGACAGTGAAGCTTTAAGGAGCTACGTCGCCTGGAGTCTAAATAACACAAGCAAAAAAGAGAAAATGGAGACTTTGACAGCTACTGTCAGGGGTTTATTTGATCAAGATCAGTGCTGTAATAATTAAATGATAAATCAATGCTGGGGAAATGTCTCTGAAGAGGCGACAGACAGTAATGATACTGCGCAATCAAATCAAATCAAATAATAACCCTCAGGTTAATGAGGGTCACGCTGCCGGTGGAGGGTTGGTATTAATCATGAGCTGCAGTTTCAGAGCTTTCTCTCCGTCTGCAGCTCACCCATGTTGCTCTTTTACCAAAAACAAACAGACAGCAACTGGAGACAACAAGCGTGTCCTCCCTGCCGTTTTGTCAATGGAGCCTGAGACACGGCCATCAAACACAGACCCATTTATCTGGAGATGGACAACATGACAATTAAGGTCCCTCAGTGCGTCTGCTGTGTGCCTGCGTTTAATGACATCCGATCATTTTCTTTCAGCGATGAATGAAAGCGACCGAAAGACAAGCACGAAACGAGACGTGAAGCTCAGACCAAAGCGTTTCCTCCGTGTACGACACGTGCACGCACGTGAAGGATAAAGGCCGTGCGACGGTCCTTAGATAGGCCTGATGGGAAATGAGACCGTTTCAGACAATTGGGTAAGTGCCAGCAAGGCAACTGCTCTCTGTTAATCAAGAAGCACGTCATATAAAAAGGCAGAGCCATCTAGGCGAGAAGAAACAGAAAAGATTGTGTCAGGGTTCTTTTAAAAATGCTTTTCACTTCCTGGTGTCAAAGATTTGCAGTTTACATCCGTTCTTTTTGTTAGAAAGCTAACAAATGTAAACTTTCTAAGCGTTCTGTCACCTTTTTGTGATAAATACTGCAGATGCCTCTCTCCAGGTCAGGCAAATGTAACAGCAGAGTTCTGACGGAGTTTAAAGTTGTCRAGTCCGACTGCATGATTTCCTGCACGGCATTCTGCCTCTCACAGATACACCTGAGGAAGTGGAGAAAATGAGGTGTGAGCTACAAAAACAGGATGGAAAGCAGCGAGTGAAAACTGTTCCGTTCCCCACCAAGAGTAAAAGAAATGCATCCCAATCAAAGCTGAATCAGCTTTGATTGAGATGATTACTACGAATTAGATTCTTTATGAATTCTTGTAAAAAGTGATTGCAGTTAGAGCGCACTGAAGAAGGATTTAACCACCTCCTGACTTTTATTTTCCTGTTTGTGTGATTTTGAGGCCATTTTCACACATGAACWTCTGAGTAAGTGCAGACAATTATCTTGCAGACAGACAAGGGTTACTGTGTGGATGTTGCAGTGATTCACGTGTTTCATTTTTAGGATAACAGGTGAGGTTCCAGCTTAACTACAACATTAATTATTGTGTGGTATTTTATACATGGTATGACATGGTATGGCATGATATTTATACACTGTGCATCCACAATATTAGTACATAGAGTATACAAGTACACAAAGGAGAAAATGAAACAGAAGATGTCTTTTGCATTTTTAATTTTCGCTTCTGCACAGTTTGTCATTAAGTTAGAAAACTCAGCCGTTTCCAGAAAATATCAAGACTATTTTAATAATTCCAGGAGTGGCCAGTCCTGGTCCTCGAGGGCCACAATCCTGCACGTTTTAGAGGTTTCTCTGCACCGACACACCTGATTATAATAAATGAATGATTGACAGGTGTCTGCAGAACTTGAAGAGGTAATTCAGTCAATGAATCAGGTGTGTTGGAACAGAGATACAAGTGGATTGGACACCCATAATCTAAACAAACTACAATTAAAACTGGCAATACAAGAAAAAAATCAGTTTGTTTACAATTTTAGTATCTGTACTGATAAAAATTCTGCAATGTTATCAAGCACCTACTTCTCAAAGCTTTTCCTGATTTATTTCCTTATTTTATATAAATTAAGCCCAGTTGCTTTTTGTATTTGTATCAGAACTTGTACAAAAAATAAAGCAAGTTTTAAAAATACATTTTGAGAGCAATAGTTGCAACCAGGCTTTGTTAATGGCTGCAACAACTTTACTTTGCAGTAGAAAATAGAAGATGTTACATTTGCAGATGAAACAAGAAGAGAACAGCCACTTTAATGTCCTCAAAGGAAAAAAAAATCAAAGTAATTAAGATTGTTTCATCTACACCTAGATTACAAACTTGTATCCTTTATTAGTATTTGTTTAAATATTCATGTCTGATCTCATTCTGAAATTTGAAATATTTTCCAAAAAATATCCCCAGAAAGATAATCTCAGGTTTGGTTCATCCTTTTGTTTAAAGCCAGGTTTATTTCCTATTTCACATCACCTGTGACTCTGTAAGAGGGTTAGATGGAAATAAAGATGTGCTGAATATGTCCAATCAGTGTAACAGTACCCTTCAAAATAAGGCCAAGTCAAATAGTTTAAATTAGGACAAAAAAAGGATCATAAAATATTAGAAAAAATATTTAAACCATCCTTTAGTTGGCTTATTCTCTAAATTACAGATTTCCAATTAAAATAATCAACTAAAATATATAAATAAAATGTTTCACTGAATAACCATCCTGAATAAAAAGACCAAAGGACAAATTTAGTGAAGTGATAGCCTGACTGTCACACTCAGACTAAGTCGTGGATGTAGGTGTTGTGTAGCTGTGTGTGCTCATCCGGGAGCGTCTGTGTCATCTGCTGATGGCTGTGTGTCTAGGAATTATTCTGTCTGGTTGTAATCAGGATTTGATTCATGTTTAGAGCAGAGATGCTATATGTGTAATCTGAAAAGCAGTAGCAAATCCACAGTTCTAATCCCTGCACAGCAAAGAGAAGGCCCACACTCGTGCAGAAATGCATCAGAATGTCCCTGCAGGAAAAATAAAATCACACTGAGATGAAGTCATAAATGCAGAAAATAATGTTTTGTAGAAGTTATATGTGACTTATCTACAAAAGTTCCTTTCTGCTGCTTCCCTGCAGAAAAACACTGATGTTTTCACATGTTGAGTTGTGTAACTCTTCTTTAACAATACTGAATATTTACTGTTTATTGGATGTTGGAGTTTTATTTCAACAACAAAAACTGAAAATGACAGTTAAAAGTGGAGATACTTTTTATAAAAGATTCTCCTGCAGCTCATTTATTCTAGTCAGTAAACAAACTTAATTAACTACAAAATAAATATGTTTTTGTTTTATATCATTTTCTGTCCTGACATTTGATTTAATTATTTATCTCATATAGGAACACTGCAGAACAAAACTCCAGCCAATTAGCTAGCATCCTTATTATTAGGTTTCTGAACTTTGCTTTAAAATCTGTGTAAATTAACCAAAGCATCACCAGTTTGTTTAGTTTACATCAGATTTGAAGAGATATGAGATAAATTAACAAGTGAAATTAATTTTTACCAAAGTTATTTTCTGTTGAAGTATTTTTACTTTAACTTGGTACTTTCATTTAAGTACTTTCTTTTTTTAAGGCACATTTTTTGGATTAGCTGAAGATTATACCATCATCTCCTTTCATTTTTTTTCTTTAAAGCAGATACACTGTAAAAAAATGACAATAGCAAATCATTTAATCTAAAGTTATTTATCTTTGTGACTCTAGTGTGCAACAACAAAATAACAGCGAGAACATTTATAAAACAAAACAACTCTGTCCATATGGTGTGAAATCAGCTTAAATGTCTGAATCAGAACGAAGACTCCCTTCACTCTGGTTCCACGGTGCCTCAAAGAGCAGAAAAACTGCTATTTAGAGTTAAATTGTGCATCGCTGAGAAAACAAGGCAGAGTGAGAGTGAAACTGAAGCAGTCGCGTACTCACTGCAGGTCTGTGAGGGGCTGGCTGACCCACTTCCTCATCAGCCTCCTTCCAAACGGAGTGCGAGTGTGGTCCAACACCCACAGCAGACTCCCCCTCACACTTCCGTCCGTCTGTCATGTAGAGCACACGCAGAAAAATGACCCACTTCACGTGTGCACTGTTCTGTGACAAATGATTTTAAAGCTCTAAAGTTATTAAACACTTCACTGAGATAAGAGCTGCTGAGTGTTTGTTCTAAGACACGTGTCAAACGCCAGGCCTGCAGGCCAAATGTGGCCCACGAGAGCTTCAAAAGTTTATTAAAGTCATAAAATAGGTGTGACGACATCCCGCCGCTAGTTGGAAAGTAACAAGCAAAATTTGTTGTGTAAAATTTCCATTTCGCTGCATTTTCACCTGCTACTTTAGTGTTTATAAGAGGACATTTTAAAATGCAGTTTCTGCGCACAAAATACCACGTWGAGCTCAGTTATTTGTTAGCGATGCTCAGCCAAGGAATTTGACGTGCCGTGTTTAATAAAAATTAAACAACACATCTGATTGATTACAACTGGTCCTTTGAGGTCAACTGTAATGCTCATGTGGCTCCTTGCTGAAAATGAGCTTGACAAAAGAGAGAATTCATGTTAATCTGATGCGAGTCTACTCCATCAGGTTCAGACTGGACAGTAACTGATAATGACATGCACAAATACCTTAGAGGTAACRAAAATGAAACCTTCAGACTTGATAAAAACATGTTTGTTTTGCCTTCTCACAGGAGAGGCCTACCTTATATAAAAACAATTACTTTTACCCTGAGTTTGTTAAATGAGCTACGCTTTAGTTTTCCTTGTGTAGAATTTTACACCCGTAATTTCCCTCGTACTTAAGGTCATTTTCACCATAGTATATATACTTTTTACTTGAGCCGAGACTTTCAGCACTCTTGTATCCAAGTACAGAAATATTAATTCACGTTTAACTAATTGTGCACACTAGACCTGCACATTATTAAGAAAATATGCAGCAGCAATATTAGTGCTGAACGTTCTGATGACTGTAGAGAAGTGGTGAGAAGTTACGAGCAGTTTRGGAGCCGTAGGAGCCAGCTGTCAATGGAGATGTAAGAAAAATTCGTATTCAATAAACTGAAGTCGATATTAAAACCACCATTGTTAAATAAAATGATTTGTAGAAGATAATACTTAATTCAAACATTATTCAAAGTCACTATTCATTGGGCTCTACAGTAAAATAACAAAAAAATAACCTGATTAATATTGCTGGTCATGATCAATCCTAATGTTTAAAAAACAAAATGGACTTCTATCCTGCTTTTGTTCCATTACTAATGAGACCTCTTATGCAGGTCTAGAAAGTTTGGAACTCCACATTGTTCCAGACATTTCGAACTTAGAAAGCTTCCTGGACAGGAAGTGAAACATTTTCAGATTCAGAATAGAAATCTAGTTGTTTTGTTTTTTTAAACTTTATTTGTCCTGACATTTTGTGTAGACAAACCCGAGTATTTATTGGTGATAAAATGCACCTGATTGGTGAGTATTTCCAGGTTCCTGAGAGTTGCAGCACTGAGGCGCATTCCCTCAGATTCACAGGACAGCTGCCGGAACAAACTGCAGAAGCAAAATAATGTGGATAAAACACATTTATAATGAAAAGAAAATCTCTTCTGTCAGGATGTTCATAAATGTGTTCACGTAAAGTCCAATTAAAGCATTTTTATTTTAGCTGCAGAAATACAAAATATGGTTTCTATTTAGATATTTAACAGTAATGTTTGTAATTCATGTTCAAATCTTCTACATCCACAAGTGTCCTGAACTGAGACTCTGAYCTCACAAACACACTACTGACAGGTGGACACACTGCTTGATGTGTGAAGAGTTGACGCAGAAATTAAATGTATTTACCATTCCTACTTATCTGCTTGTTAATTGTTTTTTCTGAAATGTAAAAAAAAAAGAAAATAAACTGTCTTATATTAATCTATTTAATATATGAATCATAAACAAGCAGGAAAGCTGAATAATTAAGCTTGCAGTGTACGTTGTCAGGTGTGCGTAGTTCCTTTTGTTGTACCTTTCATTTCTAAGAACTCTTTCTAAACTGAATTCTTGGAGGTACTGGATGAGGGGCCCCAGACAGCAGATAACTGGGCTCTCAAAGGATGCTACACTCGACAGAGAGTGTGAGTCTGGAGGACACAAACACACAGACATGTTAGTTGTGTTCTTCTCACGCTAAAACACAACCATGAGTCACGGGCTCAGTCGTCGTCTGACACCAACGGCGCCACGGCCGTCACACTCTCAGTAAGGCAGCATAATTAGTCAATTTAAAGACATTAAAAAGCAGAGGTAAGCAGTGAAAATGACACCTTTTCCCTGGGTGTGGCCGTAGAACTGGACGACCGTGTCCATCGCAGAGGTGAACTCAAACTGAGCGCTGTCCCTCTTCTCAACTCGAACCCGGTCGTCAGCCTGAGCACTGAAGGAGAACAATAATGAACTTTGTTTATTGTCCCTACCGGGCAGTATTGATCTCAGATGTCAGTGTTGCGTGTGACTTTATGTGAAAGAAATACATCTGATCGTCACAGTTCCAGTGAGGAAGACGTGGGTGATGTTGCATTTTTCAGCAGTGCCCGTCTGAGCACAGTCAAACCTCAGTACCGCTCATATAAAACACATTTCCTCTGCGTCTCCCCGGTGCACCATCGTATCTCTCAGTGACTACATTCACACTCTCGGCATTGCTGCTCTCAAGGACTCTGATGCTTTGTCTGCTGGGTTGTTGCTGGGGCAACCAAGGCAAACACATGACTCTGAAGCCCCTTCTTACTTCCGTTTGCTAATACCCGTACAGACACAGAGAAACAGAATCATCATCATATTTCATCTCAGCCTCTGGTCAGAACAGGAGCAGGGAGTTGGTACAAAAGAAATCAATAGGTGGCCTATTGTGCTAGCAAAGAAACTTGGACAATTAATCACCAAACCAGTCGATTTAACCGTATTAAGAAATTTACAAAAACTGTCACAAAAGCAGTTATTGATCCTGGGACAGTGTTARGGGTGCAGCATTTCTTCAGACGCCCAACAGGACTAATCAATAATGGTTAAGCTGGCTTTATGTAGGATCAGTTTGTTATGAGATTTCTAGGAAACTACCAAGCCGGACGCTGATTCAGGTTTATGCGAGTAAATGAAGAGATGTGTGGGTTTGGATCTAAGGAGAAAACCTTCTGGACCGCAAATTCATTTGGTCAAGACTGAAATGAGATTCTTTGAATCTTGTAAAGCCAACAGAATAAAAAGTTGCTTTCAAACCCGAAGTTCAGAAACTACAACCATACTTTTAGTTCAATCTCCACAATACAATCAGACTGATTCCTGTGAGTTTTTATTGGTTGGTTTAGTGTCATGAAATCAGATATTTGTTTGTTTTTGTCTCTACATGTAGTTTCCTCTCTTCAGAACAGAGGCAGAAACTCACTTATTTAAGTTATATTAAAATGTCTGTGACGTACAAATGCTTCAAATAAAGCAGTCAAATAAAAAATCTTTGTATGTAAGAAACTTGGCGTAATACACATGATTTTACCCATTTTGTTACATAACTGTCACATTTTCTTTTGGACTTGGCTCAGCCAAAGTGAAACAGGAAGTGACATCAAAGGGGAACTCTAAGAAAGGAAACTCTGGTTTTTGTTTATTGAAACAATATTATTTGAACTCTGACTCTTCATCTCTCTCTGACAGTGAATCAAAATAATGTTTAGAAACATCAAATTCTTCTCTACAGTCTGAGTAGTTAGCTTAGTAGTTAGCTTTTGTAGCAATGCTTTGTTCACGTTCAGACATTCCCCTTTGACATCACTTCCTGTTACTTCACATTCAAATATCTCAACAATTGTTCGTCTCAGAGACGTCGAATTTCTTTTTCAATATTTTATCAATGTTTACTTTCCAAAAATGCATTCATATAAATACAAACATTTGATGTCACAGGTACTTTAAAACAAAATGTCTGCATTACAAAACTTGGACTCATGCTCCAAAAACCCAAAACTACAAGACAAACTGAGATTCTGCAGACTTTAAAAGTTTAGTGTAATAGAAATTATGTTCAGTTTATTTATTTATTTTACTACGATATTACGCTCTGGGCAAAGGTAATAAACTAGTATGCATAGGCACATATGGTGTACAGCGACATGCAATGAGTTTATTTAAAATAAATGCATTATTTTAGACAAACAACACAATATTTAGAACAATTTGAATATATTTCCATTAAAATGCTGATAACGTAAGATAAAAACACAGACAGGTTGTTTATCCGTGGATTTGTTTTGTCTCATGCAAGGAGCAAACCCATAAGGGAAGCATTTCTTCTAAAGTTCAGCGAATTAAACCAAAACCACCTCCACAGCTACACACCATTTCAATCAACAATAGGGGTTTAATTATAATGTTAACGCTGAGAGAAAAACTGATACAATAGATCAAAAGCAATTAAAATTAAAAAAGGTAAATCAGACATGCTGCTAACCAAAGATCAGAGGTTAACGTTTGCAACAGATTAAGATCTTCAAGAAGCTTTTATAGCTGCAGGGTGCACACAAATCAACACACAATCTGTGTTTCATAAATGGGCATATATTCATAAACATGATGTCTGAAAGTAACTTTTAAAAGTGTTGCTTTAAAATCTTTGAGGGAACGTGAACAAAAACATCATGCAGTGAGTTTTTTCAGTAAGTACAGTCAACCTCACTGCTCCAAACGCTTCTAAAACTGCACTCAGATACAACGGACCTCACAGGGACTCATTACCAGACACTCCATGGACACAAACCCCGTTGCTAGGGGTCCTGTCTCGTCAGCCCACCCCAGAGACAGAAACATCGACACGCTGACGTCAGCAGCCACAAAAACCCCTGGTTTTAAATCCTCTCCAGGCTGGATTTAATTCAGAGAAGTCCCATTACCTGAACACAGGTCACTGCTGTCATGATGCATTTCTGTTTCATTCTTCCCACTTTGACTCTTTATATTAATAAAAAAAACTAATATTAAGCTATAAAAACTGGCTTCACCAGTGATGCCCCGAGAAGAGTTTTGACCCTCATGAATAAAACACTAAAGATCAAAGCTCATTGGCTCAAACAGAAGGTGAAATTGAAAAGGAGAGGAAATAGTCAGGGGAATAAAAGCAGGTGAGTGATGAGAAATGTCAGGCGAGCTGAAGACAGAAAGAGGCAAGACTCTTCTCCCATTTATCCAACCGTCGGCTTCTAATCTAATCCCCTCCACTTCCTGGTATTCTCTCGTTTTCATTTTCACAGCATAATGCAATCACGAGCAGCCTCCAGAGGACGCCGTCGCCACTGATGTGAACATGAAGGGCGGCGCGACGGGAGGCAACAGGTTTGTGGAATAAAGCAGCTCAGTGTCGCTGCTGCTGGCCCAGCTGTGAGTCAGCCAATGAACAAAAGATGGATGTTTTTTTTTCTTCGTCTTCTTCTTCTTCCCCAACCTGTTTTGATCTCCAGGGTTCAGAAAGAATCCTGCATGAATTAAACTCAAGTCTGCCTCAACAAAACACAAAACAAGCTGACATGTAAGTTGCAAAACTAACTAATTACTGGGATGATTGAAAGAACAGATTTATGCCGTTTCAAGACCTTAAAACCAATAGTCACAGGGCGGTTTTACTTATTTGCATTATTTTTCTTAGCTTTAATCCAAGAACTCTTCTTCCTCTTAACTTTTTATAAGTAATGATGAAAACAATCAAATACTTTTCTGTATAAAAATAGTTTTTCAAAGCTTATGCAAGCTGGCATAAACCTATGATTGTATTTACCAGTAGTTAAAATAAATACTGCGCAATCAGAAGCTTATTTTATTTTTTCTAATAATGACTAATTTTTTTTCTATTCATATTTATGGCAAATTTTCATATCAGTATTTGTTTTATGCAACAGATGTCAATGGATTTCATTATAATTTTTAGTTACCTAATTGTTTCGACCAAAAAAAGGGGGTTTGAAAAACAAACAAAATTTTGTGTCCTTTTAAAAAATTTAATAAATAAAAAACTTAATTCACCACAAAAAATTTTAAACACGTGGCCCAAAACAAATGATAAATAATTTAACAGCTGGGTTCTTTTCAAAATCAGTTTGGTTAAAAGAAAGTCAGTTTACTAACTTCTAAAATAAAGAATAAATCTTAGTCGGACCTGCTGAGGACCACCGTCTCAGACCACTCAGTGAGCCCACTTGGATCCCTCTGCCAGCAGACACAACAACTATCTACCTGCGTGGGGAAATTTTAAACACAATCCCTTTGAATGAAATGGAACAAACTCCCCCAAAACAAGCCTGGTTTTGTAAAGATAAAGCTATGCTGCCCCCTGGTGCCCTGAGAGCAGATTACCTGGCGTTACAGATGCTGAGCAGGAGTTTCTGGGTTTGTTCTGAGAGGTCATTAGGCACCAGAATCTCCACAGGGTTGATCCTCAGGACTCGGCTCTCCAGCTCAGAGCGAGATGGACCGTCAGGGAAGCAGTCCAAAAACACGTCTCCGGTGCTGGGCTGGACCGCCTGCAAACAGTTCATCATGACCCAAAATTAAAAACACACAGTATCAAAAAAAATAATCGGCATTAGAGATGCATCAGGAAGTCATTGATTGATATCAGCTAATTTACACATGACTATAACATCAGATTTAACCTGGCTGTTATCATTTTTTAGGATTGTAGCTGAGAAATAATCATTCGTTATTAATAAGGAAGAATGAAAAAAAAAAGTCTTTTTACGTGTTTTATTTATAAGTGACTATTTTTAACCCAAAACTAAAATTTTACTACAGAACATCTGAGGTTTCATCGTCCTACATGGATATAGTATGTTCACTGTTACCCATACCGCCCCCCAAAGCAGACTCACCACCAGCCCCACAGTGAGCTGCTTCCTCAGTTTGTCCCAGTTCTCACTGATGCACAGCAGGAAGCTTTCAGTGGGGTCCAGCACCACATCAGCACAGCCTCCCTCATTCACATCATCAAGTCTAACAACTGAGTTTACATCTGGAAAAAAAAAACCCCGTTAAGGATCCAAACTCAGACTCAGAGACACAAAGGCTGTTTTAAAGAAACACACTCCTGACTGGAAGGATACCCTCTCCCACCAGGGTGGATTTAGTGTACAAGGCGCTGAGCTGACGAGTGAACAGAGTGTTCCTGTTTGTCCCTGAAGCCTTGATGGCAGACGTCTCTGTCTGTTTGACCACACCGACCTAAAAATGACAGAAATGAATGAGGAAAAATGGTGAACCTCTGCAAACGGCAGCAATAAACAGGATCCATTTGGTACCTTGTGTCCGTGAGACACGAGCCGCCTGACGTGAACAAACAGGCGATGTGTGGGGATGCTGCACGTCATGAAGTTATGATCCAGGTTGCAAGTGATGTTCAGCTCTTTTGCAGCAATCTGCTCATCCACACAAAGATCTTTGCAATCAAAGAAACTAATTTCAAAATATTTTTTTATGTTACAAATATTAATGTTGTTTTTCACTGGTGATGCCACGCTTCCATCAACTCATATCTGCTGCACTGCAGGTGTGATTAAATATGTTCCTTTGTGCATCAATACCACAGATATTTACTTTAGTTCTCACCTCTGCGTCCTGCCCAAAGAACCTATACTTGTAACCACACTCCACGGCCAACAGGGCGTCTTTATGCTGCTGTTTCAGCTGGATGACTTGCTGTTCCAGAGGAGTGTACACACTCTTTGAACGCCTGGATGGGGCGCTGCACTCTGACAGAAGACCTGGCTCTGCCGCCTTTCCTCCTCCTCCTCCTCCTCCTCCTCCTGACTTTGCAAATTGTGACAAAAAGAATCCCTGCAAAAGGGAAAAAACTAGATAAGCTGAAACAGACTCATTAAATTAAAAAAATAGAACACTAGCTAAAATCTAAAAGAAGCTTAGCACTAGCTAAAAGGAAAAAAGTAGGAAAACGGTCGCTCAAAGTAGCAAAAAAGTGGCTAGAAGCAAACATACCAAAAAATTAGGAAAAACGTTAGCTAAAATGAAAAGTAGCTAAACGCTAACTAAATGTGTCAAAAGGCTATCTAAAAAGTTTAAGTAGCTAAATGTTAGCCAAAAATAAAGGCAGAGGATCCCCCATTCCAGCTATCTCAGTCGTCATGTCCTTGGACCAGACATTTCACCCACCTTACCTACTGACGGTGGTCAGAGGGCAGCCTCGTCTCTGTCAGTCTGCCCCACGGCAGCTGTGGCTACACTGTAGCTTACTACCATCAGTGTGTGAATGGGTGAAGGGTAAAGCACTTTGGGGTCCCCATGGGGATTGATAAAGTGTTATATAAGTTCAGTCCATTTCACACTATAACTGTTTAAAGCTGGTAAAAATATTTAGGTCTGCAGGAAAATGAACTGCTTTGTATTTAGACCATTAATAATATAGGTGTACTGTACTTGTTTTTTATTTATTTATTTATTTATTTATTTATTTATTTATTTATTTATTTATTTTAATATCTTCAAAGACCAAACCGACACAATAACACACATTAACAGAAACATTCAAATGGTCCCAGAAATTTTAATATTGAAACCTTTTATTGCTATTAGTTTAGCTATTAAAGAATATTTAATTTTAATACAAGAACGCTAAATTATAGATTTCAGTATATTGCTATGTGACATTATCAACTGTAGCAATAATAATAGAATTAAGGATAGTAAGAAAAAAAAAAGTTTAACCACGTACCAAGACCGGTAGCAAACATAGCACTTCATGAAGACAGATCGCATCAACCTCTGATTACAGCTCTATTTATTTCTGCAGCCAACACTTCTCGGGAATGATCAAAAGAAAAAAAAGTAAGACTTGTCAAAATAAAATTCAAGACCTTGGATGAAAATCTGGGGGGGGTTAAGACTATTTTAGGCCTAAAATTTTGATTTTCAAATTTTAGATTTTTTTTTGACTTTTTAAGACCCTGAACGAACCCTGTCTGTGTATGTTTTATGATGAGGAAATAACATTATAACATGATATAAAGTTTAAAAAAAAWTTACATCTGGTGTCACACAAACACATTTGTTTTTATTTAAAACTGTATCCGGATAATTAGTTTACATAAATAAAACTTTGAGAGTGGTGATTGTCCTGAACTGCCCCAGTCGCATGACCTAAACCCTACTTTGCACATCATGCTGAATTCAAAGATTCATGGTTTGCATGATGTTTAGAATCTAGTTTTGACTAAGAACTAACGTCGTTTGATAAGCAAACAAGTATCAACTTTTGCACAAAGTCTTTGGAGTAATTATCTGTTTAACTTGAATCTGGTCTAGAGCCATCAGTGATTTAATATACAGTCTCATTTAATCAGAGCAGAAAATTACATCATAAAAGTTAAAACCGTTTTCTTTGGGCTAAACTCACTATCACTACTTGCATTTTAAATAAAAACCTTTATTGAAAGTACCTGCTGCTTTGATGTAAGAAGCCCTGAATCGTCCAGATCTCTGCTGTCCTGCTCTTCATCCTCATCTTCCTCCTCCATCTGTAGAAATCTGTCTGTAATTCTSCGTGAATCCTCAAATGGAGATGAAACGTTTTCTGTCTGGTTACAGATTTCACTGCTGATGCCGTCCCCTTTTGTTTCATCTCTGTGTCCGACGGTGGGCTCAGTCACACAGGTGAAGCCTTTCAGCTTCTCCAAGGTGGAGGAGCACAGGACACGTCCTTGTCCTCGACTCGAGGCTGGTGTTTTCTCTGAGGACAGGAGACAAAACGTCACTGCTTTAAGGATAAAACAGGAACAGCACCAAACGGCGCATCTTTGTTTGAATACAGAAAATGTGCATCTGCAACGAGGTTTGGAGATGATCTTTGAGCTGCAGACTTACCTTCACCCCTCTGACAGGATGCAGCCTCCAGATCCTGCTGGTCTTTCAGGGACAGCCTGGCTCGTTTAGTTGGTAATCCAGCCTTCTCAGAGGAGAGTTTCAGCTGCAGCACAGAATCATTTCAAAAACAATAAAAGGTTTGTACTGAGCAAAAGCATAATTATTATGTGGGGAATGTGCGAAGAGCAGTATTAAACCTCACTTTGCCTCTTGAAAGCAGCTGGTGCTCAGGAGGATTTGGTTTCATCCCAGACTGAGCTCCGCTGCCGAAGTACCTGCTAATGGAGGTCTGGGTAGTGCCGGACTTTTTCAAAGACTTTGGCATTTTTAATTTGTTTTCAAATACATTACACAATCAAATTCTGGACAATAATATGTACAAATGCGAATAATAGTTTGAAACGATCGACCCGGCTTTTCAAAACATGGCGGCGCACTTGATGACGTCACGAAAGCGCTCAAAAGCACAGTTTCCTGTTAAGTCTTTTTAAAATAAACCAAATCGTTTCGTCTGTGTTAGCAAACTAGGACGTATTTTAATGTTAATCATTTCTTCTGGTATACAAAGAATTGTTAACACAGAACCTGAATATTTTGTGGACTTAAACGTCTCTTTATTTATTTTTGTTGATCTGTTGAGCTTTTATTTTGAAGTATACATTTGACTTCCGTATTGTGAATAATGTTTTATACAGGTAAATTTAAACCATTTTAATAATCTAGGTAATGTGTAAATGTTTCATGTTTTTTATTATCTAAACCCCAAATGTAAACATGGTAATATATTTAATATATTATATTTTGTTAAATCATTGATTATCCTTTCATCAGCATCATTTTTACAATGTTTAGATAAAGTACAAACAGGAAATGGTTGTTAACCTCCTTAAATTATTCTAATTTATAGCTATTTATAAATGTTCTAACATTTAAGCAAATACATTAATGAATGAAGGGAAATTAGACAATTTGGGTACTTTCTGTTAGACTTAATATTTTATTATTACTATAAAGAATTATTTTTGAACTGATGAGATTGATCTGGTGTTTATTAATAAAAAAAATAAACATTGAAAACTCTAAAGCTATTGTCACATTTAGGCCAGTGTTTCATAGCACATTATGATACAATCAGTGAATGTAAAGTGAATTTAATTAACTGGCAAAAGCTTTGATAAATTATAAGCCATGAATCTGACAACAACATCTCTTCTTGTTTTAAATTCTGGTCTCGACCCTGTGCCTTTTTGAGAACAAAAAAAGKAGAAGTTGGACTGCTGTCATGCACCCTAGTGGTCAACAGGATTTCTCTAGAAATGCAAATTTTCAAGTACTGAAAGTATAAAAGGAGGAAAAAGAAAGTCTGTGCTCCTGTCTTGCCTCACAACAACAAACTAACATTTTGAGTTCACAATGCAGTTTTACGGAGCTCTGATCCTGTTGGTGACTTTTTCTGCAGGTAAGACTGTCTTTGCTGTTGAGTCCGCAGGTTTTAAAACTCTTGGATATTAAAAAAAGGAAAGAAAGAAAGAAAAATCCAGCTGGTAAAAGGGTATTCTAAAGAATGAAGAATAAGCATTAAAATGTTATGTTGGAAAGTTGTTCTTTCTTTTAACCTCTTAAGCCCCAAGGGGTTTTCTTGAAGTATTTTTTTTCTTCAGAAAACAATGCCGAAATGTAACCGAGTGTGACCTTGATTTATAAAATGATAATAACTTGTAGTTAAAAGGAAGTATAAATCAAAAAATATAAAGAGCATTATTATTTTGTTTATTAAAGAAAATAAAATGTCTCTTTTGAGGAAGGTCTTTTTAGAACAGGGTCAAAGACAAGTGGAAATGTTTATTTCCCCTCRGAGTGACCCTTACAAGTGTATCTCAGCATTTACAAACTCTACTTAAATAATATTGGTATCAAAATAAAGCTAACACTTGGAAGATTTCATCAGAAGTGTTGTATTAAAACAGCTGCTGTGGTTTTAGAGATATTAGGGATGGAACATGCTTTTTTCACTCTCACCTGAATATTTTTTTAAATTAGACATTATATAGCCTATTTAAAACCATAATGAAGTAGCTAATGATAAATAATATTTGCCTTCAGTTGGACCATATTCACTCAAAATCAAGTAAAAAAAACTTTCAACACATTTTACAACATATTTGGGTATCTATTTTGACTTGCTTTACAAAAATGATGTCAAAAATATTTCATTTACAGATTTACTTGAATGTATTTACAGATTTGCAATGATGCCATTTTGTACAGTATGTTTATATTCTGATTCAACTGCTTGACATTCAAACTGTGCTTGGTGAATGTAAAAATAGTTTCAATGAGCTTTTAGCCAAGATTCTTAGGTTTGTTTTGATACCAAACATGTCCAGCTTAACTGACTTAACTGGTTAAAAGACATTAAAAGAAATACAAAACAGAAAAAGTTGTTTTGCATGTGGCTCAAGAGGTTAAGTTTAGCTAGTTTTGTCTATGGCCATTATTGAGATTTCATACAACAAACTGCTTCTAGTTTGGAACTGTCATGTTGATTTCCTGAAGAATATAAGAGGAAAAAAAGAGGAACTTACCAGTTGCTTTATTTACTTCYTAAAAACCAAAAAAGTTGTATGTATGTGTTTTTCTGCAGCATGTGGTCTGAGGTGTTACTCCTGCACAGCAGCAGATCCAAAGTCCTGCACAGACACCACATCCTGTGCTGTGATATTCAACCGCTGCTACTCTCTACTAGTAAAAGGTTAGCTGTTGAATATATAAGTAGTTCAAGACAAAAACAAAATTAAACCTTGTGGCTATAATAGCAAGCTATTGTATTTTTTTTTGGTACATTTCTCTATCTTGATTTACAGGTACGGTCACCAAGGGGTGCCAGAACAGTGCAACCTGCATAATAAGTTCTATGGCCTGCTGTGAAGGAGATTTGTGTAACAGTGGAGTAGCAGCAGGTCCAAGTGTCGTCCTGCTGCTGGTGGCTTCAGCTCTCCTCACATTTTTTATCTGAAACTTTCAAAAAGAAAAAAAAATATTATTAGCAGATTTGAAATAAAATGTAAAACATGTTTGACAATTAGTTCTTGTCTTGGCTTGTTGTGTTTCGTTATTTCATGACTCAGATTGTGAAATGGGAAAAAAAAATACATTTTAAACACGGACAARGTGTTTTGTATTGACCTGTTCGAGATAACCACATTTTTAAAAGTTCAGTTAGGAGGAGTTTTTTTTCCATACAAATGTGGTGTGGGTGCATGTTGCACAACTAAAAGTAGAAAATAAAAAACAGGAAGTCATTGGGTTAGTTTTGTTTTCTCTCGTCAAATCTACACTTTCTCAGTGCAACTGAGTGGAGCTCTGAGCCTGTTAATGACTCTGCTGGTAAAATGCTATAAATTTGCTGTTGGGCCTACGGGATTTCAAACACCTCTGTGAATTCAGGAATAAAAATAAATAACAGATAAGCTAAACATCTTATATTATGGCCCCTGTTCTGTAACTGTTCTGTTTAAATAAAGTTTATTATTMGAAGAGAAATACTCTCAGCACAGCAGATCTCCAGTTTCTTTGGTTTCCAAAGGAGACTTCAAGGTTTTTGAAAGTTCACTCCAAAAATAACCATAGGATGATAGTCATTTGGTTTGTTGTTTTGCTGTTATTCTCATGTTTACTTTGCCTCTTATTTAAAAACATATTCATTTGTTCACTTTAGTAGCAACATTTGAAGTCTCAAATCTCTGCTATTGTTATTTTCAATCTTCTAAACTGAAAAGGTATTTAGGATTGTTACAACAGGTCACATGGAATGAGCTACAGATGGATGACTGATGGATGTGACACATGACATGAAGAGGGGGGGGTCATAGAATCAAATTGCAGCTGTCAGTAATGTTATTTACTTATTGTTTTAACAAATCAGCAACAGCTCTGAATTCAAGTGTAAAATAAATGTTGGAGAGTTGTATTGATTCTTGATCTTTTCCAAGAAAAAATAAAATTAGGTCACTCTTGAACTGCTGACATGCCGCCCARACAGGAGGAGGTCTTATCATAATGATTAAATGTTGATGTTCTAAACGTATAAAACTTCCAGAATGAAAAAAAAAATCTTTGCAGTTTTGTCACAAGACTGAGCAGCATTTCACAATACAGCTTCTCAGAGCTTTGATCCTGCTGATGACTCAGAACGTCTTCCTGAAAGATTAATCAAACTTCAAACAACACTGTGACTTCAGAATCAAAATGTTTGAAGATTAACTTTCAACGAGGGAAAGTTTAGGTTAAAGTTTGCCAGAATTTGGGTTGAAAAGTGTTTCCTGCTGGTTCAGATCCCTCACTTTGTCTGATTTCGAACCAGGAGTGATTTGCAAGTTTAGATTTTCTGCACAGCAGTGTGTTGAAATGTCAGTGTTAAACTTTTCAGAGTTGGTTTTTCTCARTGTTGTTTCAACTCTGGAGCGGTAAACAAGCTCTGTTATGTAACACGATGCAATGTTGAAAAAAGTATTCTGAAAAATCCTCACCCTCTTCCACCTCAGACCAGAAATTTCAAAGCAAGGAATGCTGCCATGTAGAAAGGATATGTGTGTCTGTTAAAATTATCCTCAGTTTCACCTTTAATTTAGTCTCAGAGCCAGACATGCCATTATGYCAAGTCTGTCTTATAATCATGAAATCTGTGATCCACAGGTCTAGTAAGCAAACTGTGAATGTGTGTGACCGTTGTGTGTCTGGTCATATCTCTCTGCTGCTCAATGATCCACTCAGCGCTGATTGGTAGTGACAGTAGTTTATTATCCGCACAAAATACCACAGTAATTCAGTCGTGGATAGAGATCTTGTGGACAATTATTATGAGCTCTGTTTGCCTGGAAAACAGTACCACAGTTAGCTGCTAGCTTAGCTGAACACAGAGGTATAAAATTGCACCATTGCATATATACACCGTACACCATGTACATTGCATATATATATAT